CCGTCTGTTCATCCGTCCCCTTCAATTTTCGTCGAAATTTTTAGCCCCATTTTTCTCACGAACTGCGAATCAGAGTTTTCTGAAATTTGGTATCAAATTTATGTCAGCATGGGATAATGTATGATATACTTGCACATCCATCGTCATCAATTTCCTGCTAACCGAATACTATCGGGGCTATTTATAGTGAGAAATAGCTGACATTACATCTTGTTTATCTTAGGGAGAGGCAGAAGATACCAACGGAATATTCGGGGCTATCTATAGTGAGAAATAGCTGACATTACATCTTGTTTATCTTAGGGAGAGGCGGAAGATACCAACGGAATATTCGATGACAAACTGACAATGCCATGACAAAAACGCAAAATATTTTATAAAATTTTAACTTATTTGATAACAATGACAAGACAGCTATTAGGGACCCACAATTAGAACCAAATTGGAATACACAAGTGTCTGTTGAAATAACAACAACCTCAGTTCAAATGTTGAATCAGAGGTCTGTCATTTAAATAAATTAAATGTCTACTTCCGTATACTAGTATGTATTATTGTAATTAGTTGAGATTCAATACATTGAATTATTAGAGATATAAAACAAATAAAAGCAATTATTACAGGATAAATCATTTTAAATTGCCATATTAGAAAAAAACCAAACAATTAACAAAAGATGGTCAAAGCTATAAAGTCAATGCCGAAATTGTTGAAGCGTTATGTTTAATGCCCCTTATAGTTAACATTGTATGTATGTTTGTTTGTTTTTTATATTTTCTATTTTACAATACACCTTGTCAAATAATCTATCTTCTATCTTTTTTGTTTTTAAAGGTATGGTAGTTTTCCTTTGAAGCTGTTGCTTTTACCATTGACTAGTTCTTTGTTCTATGTTTCCTATAAGTTTGTCCTGCTCATTTTCAAAATAGTTCATTTCGTTTACCTGATTTTTTTCTTTTGTTATTATTTATCTTTTTCTTTATTTACGGTCAGATTTTTATCACTGTCAAATCTTCGGCTACCGTTTAATGTCTTTTTTTTTTAATAAATCACGTGGTAAGAAAACTACTTCCTTAATTAATTTGTCTTTGTCTACTTATTTGACACATATGATCATTTAGATCTAGATGGGATCATTTGCTTTCAAGTTGTCATTGGGTTTCATCGGGCTGAGTTTCAGAATCACTAACAAAAGGTAATTATTCTGAAACATATACTTGTTTGTTGTAATGTGATGAACAGACAATTAAATATCGATCTTTATTGTATATTTTTAGAGTACATGTAATCATATGACTAGTATGTAAAAAAAACATGTACACAGTATTTTGTTGTTAATTTCTAAAATATAGTTCATTCTTTCTTCATTTGATCAGTTATTAATTATCTTTTTATTTATTGACAATAATGTGTTATGTTTTGAATATTAAACATAAAAAAGGAGAGGAGACACGAAGGCACGTTTTATTAACTTTTTAGCTCACCGTTCCTTCGGAACAGTGAGCTTTTGCCATCACTTGGCGTCCGTCGTCGTCTGTCGTTGTCCGCCTGGTGTAAACTATTTCAAACATCTTCTCCTCTGAAACTACTGAACCAAATCCAACCAAACTTAAGCTGAATGATGCTTAGGGTATCTAGAATAAAGTTTGTGTATTATTTACTGTTTCGTCAAATAACATGGCCGCCATGGCTAAACATAGAACATAGGGGTAAAATGCAGACTCAAAAACCAAAGCATTTAGAGCAAATCTGACATGGGGGTTAAAATGTTTATTAGGCCAAGCTCTGTCAGCCCTGAAATTTACAGATGAATCCAACAATCCATTGTTGGATTGCTGCCACTTAATTGGTAATTTTAAGGAAATTTTGCAGACTTTGGTTATTATCTTGAATATTATTAATGATAAAGATAAACTGTTAAAAGCAAAAATGTTCAGCAAAGTAAGATCTACAAATAAGTCCGATGACCAAAATTGTCAATTGTCCCCTTAAGGAGTTATTGACCTTTAAAATCATTTTTTCACAATTTGTTCATTTAGTTTGCTTACCTTAAAAAATCTTCTCCTTTGAAACTGCTGAATCAATTTCAGCCAAACTTGGGCTGAATGAGTTTCAGAGTATCTAGTATAAATTTTGTATTTTATTTTCTTGTACGTCAAGACACATTGCCACTATGGCTAAAATGAAACAAAGGGGTAAAATGCATTTCTTTAAATTTGAATAAAATATTACAGATACAAAGAACATTTCAATGGAAGTTTTAAGCCATTCATTAATATATATTGAAAAGCAAAAATAATCATTGATGAAAGATTTAAGCAAAAAATTACAGGTGAGCGATTCAGGCTCTTAAGAGCCTCTTGTTTTGAAAACTGTCTATTTATTAAGGAAACTGAAACAACAGATATATGTTCAAGTCATTCTGCTTTGTATCGATCTGATGAATTAAGCTAATTTAACTGATTTTCATATAGTATAGTTTGTTCTTATGTTGTGCTGTAACACCACTGTCCCAGGTTAGGTGGAGGGTTGATCGCTCACAAACATGTTTAACCCCGCCATATTCTTATGTGCCTGTCCAAAGTCAGGAGCCTGTAGTTCAGTGGTTTTCGTTGGTTCATGTCTGTCTTATTTGTTTTTCGTAAATTGTCTTGTTATAAATTAGGCCATTGGTTTTCTCAATTGAATAGTTTCATATTTTTCATGTCGGGGGCTTTTATAGCCGACTATACGGTGTGGGCTTTGCTCATTGTTGAAGGCCATACGGTTGCCTATAATTGCTTACATCCACTTCATTTGAACTTTGGTGGATAGTTGTCTCATTGGCAATCATATCACATCACCTTATTTTTACACAAAGAACTGTCATACAAGTGGGAGGTTTAGCTAGCTATAAAACCAGGTTTAACCCACCATTTTCTTCGGAATATGCCTGTACCAAGTTGTTTTCTATTCGTTCCGTTGGTTGTTATAGTGTAATAGTCTTTATGGACTTGCCCTTTTTGACTTTTAATACATTAGAGTTCGGTATTTGTGTAGTACTCTATAGTTAGTACTAATGAAATCCACACACAAATGTTCACTTTATCTATGAACAAGAGTATTCCAATGTTAGATATAATAATAGACAATACATATAATACCGGAAATAGACAAAAAACAATATAATAATAGACAAAACAATATAATAATAGACAAAACAATATAATAATAAAAATTAAACAAAATGCATAATAAATGATATATAAAAAGTAGGCTGATAAGGTAATTGAGCCCGGAAGCACTAAGAAAAAAAGATGATTGAACGGTGACTCAAACTTAACCGTCGTGTTTTGTAACTGAGATTTTAAAAAGATTATTTAAAATGTTATCTTTACGTCACGTGTGTTAATCTATTGTGTGGTCGAATATATTTCACCTAAATTACTACATGTTACGTTGTGTGATCAATGATTAAATATGTAAACTGTAAAACATAGGACACGGTAATTTTGGAAATTTTCGCACAAAGCTATACTTTTTACCTTATAAGGATTCTGTTGTAATTGATCCTGTATCGTGACATAACTTCCTGCAAACGAACCATTTAATGATCAGGTATGGTGATACATCTGAGTTTCAACAATATGGTTATTTAACTTTATTATGAAAGTACTAGATATATAATACTAAGTACTAGATATATAAAACTTCCATACTCTCACCTTACATGCGTCTTCATTTCATTACACAGAATTTCGTTTTAAATGTGTCATATACATACATTAGACTGGGGTATAAATGTCTTGATGGAAATTACTTATACAGTATTTTTCAACTCGACGTAGATTAAAACAAATTTAATAGTAATTCTGAGAAAACTGTAGAGCCTTATAATATAACAAATAGGAAAGTCTTTAGAAGGAGGAATATTTAGAAAATGAATATTCTGGCCTGGTAAGAACTCAAAAATATTACCCGGTCAGAAACAGGATAAATATGAAGATGTTGCCCAATAATTATTGCAGGAAACCTTCGCGAGATTGTATTATATGTCTGTGTTGAAAGTAAATCAAATGTAAAATATTTAGGTGTCATATTGGACAAACATGTTTCTGAGGAACAGTATTTTAAAGAAGGCTAATCAGAGGCCTATCTTTTATATAAATATAAGACATGTTTGTTTAAACAATCCAGCAAAACAACGTGTACCACATTAATTCACCGTCATCATGATTACAACGTGTACCACATTAATTCACCGTCATCATGATTACAACGTGTACCACATTAATTCACCGTCATCATGATTACAACGTGTACCACATTAATTCACCGTCATCATGATTACAACGTGTACCACATTAATTCACCGTCATCATGATTACATCGTGTACCACATTAATTCACCGTCATCATAATTACATCGTGTACCACATTAATTCACCGTCATCATGATTATGCATGTGCTTGTTGGTATGAAGGTTTATCTCACCGTCATCATGATTATGCATGTGCTTGTTGGTATGAAGGTTTAATTCACCGTCATCATGATTATACATGTGCTTGTTGGTATGAAGGTTTATCTCACCGTCATCATGATTATGCATGTGCTTGTTAGTATGAAGGTTTAACTCACCGTCATCATGATTATGCATGTGCTTGTTAGTATGAAGGTTTATCTCACCGTCATCATGATTATGCATGTGCTTGTTAGTACGAAGGTTTATCTCACCGTCATCATGATTATGCATGTGCTTGTTAGTATGAAGGTTTATCCAAGAAGCTTAAAGACAAGCTTCAGCTGATTAAAACAGTTATTAGTATAAAAATAAGAAGATGTGGTATGATTGCCAATGAGACAACTCTCCTATACCACCTAGTAAGCTATAAAAGGCATTTATATTTATACTACTTCTTCCTTTAAGAAATCATATCACTGTAAATGCAGAAGAAAACAGGATTATTGAATGTTTATATCATAGTGAATATACGTTTGATGTTTCCTCTCTCTCTTCCAGATGACGCGAGACATTTTAGTTGTGTTGCTGTTACTCCTCGTAACTGACGGTAAGATAATTTGTTTTCAAATCAGATTCTTACACATGATGTACATGTGTCAAGGCAAAGGTAAAACAAAATACCAATAATAACATTCACAGCAACAAAGACCAGTTTCATAAAAGACCTTAATTTAACTAGAAAGCATACCGAACAAAATAAGTCCTCATTTTAATAAAATTAAGAATGGAAATGGGGAATGTGTCAAAGAGACAACAACCCGACCAAAGAGCAGAATACAGCCGAAGGCCACCAATGGGTCTTCAACACAGCGAGAAAATCCAGCACCCGGAGGCGTGCTTCAGCTGGCCCCTAAACAAAAATGTGTACTAGTTCAGTGATAATGGACGTCATACTAAACTCCAAAACATATAAATGAACTGAAATTAAAAATTATACAAGACTAACAAAGGCCAGAGGCTCCTGACTTGGGACAGGCGCAAAAAGGCGGCTGGGTTAAACATGTGTTGTGAGATCTCAACCCTCCCCCTATACCTCTAGCCAATGTAGAAAAAACAAACACACAGCAATACGCACAGTAAAACTCAATTTAAAAGAGGTCCGAGTCCGATGTCAGAATAGGTAACAAAAGAAACTAAACAAAATGACGATGATACATAAATTAACAAAGGACTACTAGCAGTTACTGACATGCCAGCTTCAGACCTCAATAAAAAATTATGAACAACTCAACTAAATTGAATGATCATTTTGTGGTAAATTTAAACAGTTAAATCAATGTCAATTCTTAAAATGGCACATCAAATTAAGTTTTGGATCTTGTTATATTTACACTTGTACTATCTAGTTATCAAATCAGAAACATCTTGGCATTATTTCCTTATTATTTAAGAAAGATTATATTAAATCTTCAGAATCAATATCAAAGTATTATTAGATGTTAATTGCATGTTTGTCATTTAGAGTAAACCAATTTCTCCCTGATTATTTACACTTTTACACACTATCTTCTTATTTCTATATTGAAACAACGTTCTTTTCAGTCAGGTCAAGTTATAAAAGAGTGTGTTATTTTACAAACTGGGCCCAGTATCGGGATGGAATAGGAAAGTACTGGGCTAAAGATTTAGATCCGCATCTTTGTACACACGTGGTCTATGCTTTCGCTAAAGTCGTAGGAAACAATATCGAACCGTATGAGTGGAACGATATTAATAAATGGGGTAAGTTATAGGGAACATTTAATGAATATTAATTTAAGATTGACAATAACACATTTGGAAATTTGGGGTTTTATATTTTTTTTTTTCTGTTATTTCTTCTTATATTTCACCTATTCACTATTTCTATTTTATTAATAATAAGTTGAAAAATAAATGGTATTTTTTTCAATACATTAAAACGTAGTTATATATTTTTAAAACAATAAACAAGAAAATATTTTTCTACCTAAGGAACTTAATATTTTATTTTTCAAAATATTGTATCAATTCTGTCAATTTTTCATATGATTATTTATATTATTTGTCGATTTATGTTTTTGCTTAATGTTATTGAGCAGTCTTTTGTAAACAATTAATTTGATTTTTACCTCTAATCGTTTCCATAGCAAAAGGTCAGTATGAAATGATTCGTGATGTACGAAGTAAAAATCCTACCTTAAAGATACTGCTAGCTATCGGGGGATGGAATCATGGTAGTGATCCTTTCACCAAGGTGGTAGCTACTCAATCAAATATAGACGCATTTGCTACATATTCAATGACTTTCCTGAGAGCTAATGGTTTCGATGGTCTAGATCTGGATTGGGAATATCCTGCCAACAGAGGAAGTCCTCCCGAAGATAAACAGAGGTTTTCTCAATTAGTGAAGGTCGGTTGATTATTCAAATAATTTTTGAAAATACAAAATGTATGATCGATAAATGGTGACTTGTGTTGACGAATTCTCATCATGAATTAATGAATGAATGTTTTTACCGAAAATTAAATTAGGAAGTCCTAATAAAAATAAGATCATGTGGTATAATTACCAGTGAAAACAACTCTCCACCAGAGACCAAATGATGTAGAAGTTAGCAAGTATAGATCTCCGTACGGCATTCAACAATGAGCAGAACCCATACTGCATAGCATGCTATAAATAGCCCCAAAATAAGAAATTTATCTTGTTTATTTTATGCAACCCTTTTTAGTAAAACAGTTATACCTTGTATGGATATATCACTAAACAAATGTTCTAATAGCAATGAAAAGGGGTCTCGAAATAGAGTAGAGTTTATATATCTCAACTTGTACGATTCGCTCGTGTATGTAACAACGTATTAGATTTTAGCGAGAGAAATTTATATATTACTGAAAAAGTATTACACCAGGGTTTTCGATATCATAAACTAGTCAAAACATTTACTAAATTTTATCATCGGTATAAGGACATCATTCGTAAATATAACTCAACATGCAGACATCTTATACGTTCGGGTATTTCACATCCAATCTTTTATGGTAATATTCTTTACAAAGCACAAAAATGTCAGTATTCACCTCAAAAGCTAACAAAACCTTTAAACAGACTTATTAAGAAGGGATATAGTTACGATACTGTTGTCAGGTCATTAAAGATTGCATATTTTGGCTTTAATATTGATTCACTTATAGGGTCTTTGCATCGGAATTAAACATATTTATTCTAAAACCAGTTGTTGGCATGACACGAGTTATGTTCTTTTCATATATTTTATGACGGTATAATACTAAACCCCTAACAGGAGGGATTGTGCCTGATATTCATATGATGAAGACATAATCTTTCAATCAGTTTAATTGAAGTCTGGAGCTGGCATGTCAGTAACTGCTAGTAGTCTGTTGTTATTTATGTATTATTGTCATTTTGTTTATTTTCTTTTGTTTCCTATTCTGACATCGGACTCGGACTTCTCTTAAACTGAGTTTTATTGTGCGTACTGTTGTACGTTTGTTTTTCTACATTGGCTAGAGGTATAGGGGGAGGGTTGAGATCTCAAAAAACATGTTTAACCCCGCCGCATTTTTGCGCCTGTCCCCAGTCAGGAGCCTCTGGCCTTTGTTAGTCTTGTATCATTTTTAATTTTAGTTTCTTGTGTTTTGGACTATTGGATATTTGCTTCAAGCTTGTGAAAATGTGCAAATTTCACTAATATAAGACAGGTGAAATTTATCTCACTCAAAATTTTCAGTTTCAAATAACAACTCTCATAGTTTACGGAATCTTACAAGAAAAATAATGTATAGGAATCATAGTCTAAATCTATGATTTTATATTCCAGACATTACGTACAAAGTATGACAATGAAGTGTTAACTTCCGGTCGATCACGTCTGCTGTTGACAGCCGCTGTGGCAGCCGGTCAATCTACAATTGAAAGTGCTTACGAAATCAACAAAATAGCACAGTAGGTATAGTATAAATTGTGCTACTAGTGGGTGACTACAAAATCGATATTAATTTCAACCTTTAGTAATTAGTTTTCATTCTATACTTTTAACATCATCAATTTGAAAATAGAGAGATGTGAAAAGATTGCTTATGAGGCAACTATCAACCAGAAACCAAATAAAGAGGAAACAAGGAACTTTAGGACAAGGAGAAGGTGTGGTAAGATTAAGCAATGAGACAACTATCCACCAGAGACCATATGGTGTAGATGTAAGTAATTATAGGTCACCGTACGTCCTTCAATAATGAGCAAATTCCATACCGTGTAGTAAGCTATAAAAGGCCCTGACGTGTCAAAATGTATAAGTAATTTAAAAAAACCGACTTGATTTATAAAGAACTCCTTTGGATACATATACGTACTGTTCAAACTACTTTTAATATATCTCCAATATCAAGGTTTCTGTATTGTTTAAATATCAGGTATCAATGACCAGAACCTGTTTTAGAGGGATTTTTACGTCAATGAAGTAATTTGAAGGTCAATACATGGCTTCAACGATTGACATGTGTCTAAACAAGATGTCGAGCAGAAATTTATCTAAAACCCAAAGCAAAATTCAAAACCACACTAAAACAAAGCAATGATAGGTTTTTACACAATTTGTCCTTCCGTGACCTTGATTCAATATTTACACTGTACACACACTGATTTTTATGCTTTATTTATTTGCAATAAGGATAAACAATAACTACAATAATTATTAATGAAGTGGGCTAGGAGCTTATTACGAAAATTAGTTTACAGTTTACTCTTAAGAGTTCATTATATTAATATTCGATCTGAGATAATTGCAAATGAAACAATTATCCGTCAAAGACAAAAGGATGTCCACAACTACAGGTCACCTAATGAACGCCAAAGATGAATAAAGAAGTAACACCATTAAGTCAAAACGAAAGAAGAAAATGTATGCATAAGTACATGCTTCATTTTGATTGAAGAATGTTTAAAATTATAAGTGGTGACTGGGGTATGGAAATATTGTAATTCCTGAACAATAAAACCCTTTGTAAAATGCGGCATCAATTTTACTGCGCGGAATGTATAAATACGCAGCCACATCAGGTCGGAATAAGGACATAAATTCCTATGCTCGTGTAGGCAGATTGTCATGCACTCCGCAAGTTTAAGAACACTTGCAAGATCTCTGTAAGTGGTCGATCGGTTGTCTGTTGCAAGACAAAGTACTATTTACTCTGATTTCCCAGTGGCAGTCCCCTCCTTTATCCTGGTCAATTTACCACGCAGGACCTACCTGTTGTATTTAATGTTAATTTGTGTTCTCTTCCTGTGAAACATTTGCCACTGGACGTAAAGCAAACACTAATCAATTTATTGAAAGTCTTTTAAAAACAAAATGTTGACCATCCTCTTTTTAATAACGTTGTTTTCTTTTGCAGACATTTAGATTTCATAAATCTCATGGCATACGATCTGTTTAGTAATTATAATACCGTTACACAACATAACAGTCCATTATACAAATCCATGGCTCCTAACGAGGCCTTTAATGTTGTAAGTATATTATAGAGTTATACAAATCCATGGCTCCTAACGAGGCCTTTAATGTTGAAAGTATATTATAGAGTTATACAAATCCATGGCTCCTAACGAGGCCTTTAATGTTGTAAGTATATTATAGAGTTATACAAATCCATGGCTCCTAACGAGGCCTTTAATGTTGTAAGTATCTTATAGAGTTATACAAATCCATGGCTCCTAACGAAGCCTTTAATGTTGTAAATATATTATAGAGTTATACAAATCCATGGCTCCTAACGAGGCCTTTAATGTTGTAAGTATATTATAGAGTTATACAAATCCATGGCTCCTAACGAGGCCTTCAATGTTGCAAGTATATTATAGAGTTATACAAATCCATGGCTCCGAACGAGTCCTTCAATGTTGTAAGTATATTATAGAGTTATACAAATCCATGGCTCCTAACGAGGCCTTCAATGTTGTAAGTATATTATAGAGTTATACAAATCCATGGCTCCTAACGAGGCCTGCAATGTTGTAAGTATTTTATAGAGTTATACAAATCCATGGCTCCTAACGAGGCCTTCAATGTTGTAAGTATATTATAGAGCTATACAAATCCATGGCTCCTAACGAAGCCTTCAATGTTGTAAGTATATTATAGAGCTATACAAATTCATGGCTCCTAACGAAGCCTTAAATGTTGTTAGTATATGGGTCCATTATACAAATTCATGGTTCCTAACGAAGCCTTCAGTGTTGTAAGTATAGTATTGCAATATACAAATCCATAGCTCCTAACGAGACCTTCAATGTTGTAAGTATATTATAGAGCTATACAAATCCATGGCTCCTAACGAGGCCTTTAATGTTGTAAGTATATTATAGAGTTATACAAATCCATGGCTCCTAACGAGGCCTTTAATGTTGTAAGTATATTATAGAGTTATACAAATCCATGGCTCCTAACGAGGCCTTTAATTTTGTTAGTATATTATAGAGTTATACAAATCCATGGCTCCTAACGAGGCCTTCAATGTTGTAAGTATATTATAGAGCTATACAAATTCATGGCTCCTAACGAAGCCTTCAATGTTGTTAGTATATGGGTCAATTATACAAATTCATGGTTCCTAACGAAGCCTTCAGTGTTGTAAGTATAGAATTGCGATATACAAATCCATGGCTCCTAACGAAGCCTTCAATGTTGTAAGTATATTATAGAGTTATACAAATTCATGGCTCCTAACGAAGCCTTCAATGTTGTAAGTATATGGGTCCATTATACAAATTCATGGCTCCTAACGAAGCCTTCAATATTGTTAGTATATGGGTCCATTATACAAATTCATGGTTCCTAACGAAGCCTTCAGTGTTGTAAGTATAGTATTGCAATGTACAAATCCGTGTCTCCTAACGAAGCCTTCAGTGTTGTAAGTATAGTATTGCGATATACAAATCCATGGCTTCTAACGAAGCCTTCAATGTTGTAAGTATATTATTGTGATGTACAAATCCATGGCTCCTTACGAAGCCTTCAGTCTTGTAAGTATATCATAGAGTTATACAAATAGATTGCTCCTATAACGACGCCGTTAATATTGTAAGCATATACTAGTAATTGCGTTATTGCTCTTAACGAAGCCTTCAATGTTGTAAGTATATTATTGCGATATACAAATCTATATGGCCCAGTAACACCACGTTTAGAGATGTAAAACTATTAGTGCGTTATACAAACTTTCATCTTGAAATGTATCCTCTTATCCTCAATATAAACATAAGATATGTGATATGATTGAGACAACCAGGGTCCAAATTACGTGGATTTAAGCAAATATATGTCACCGTACAGCCTTCTACAATATATGTCACCGTACAGCCTTCTACAATATATGTCACCGTACAGCCTTCTACAATACATGTCACCGTACAACCTTCTACAATATATGTCAATGTACAGCCTTCTACAATATATGTCACCGTACAGCCTTCTACAATACATGTCACCGTACAGCCTTCTACAATAACCAAAGTCGATATGGTATATGTCACCGTACAGCCTTCTACAATACATGTCACCGTACAACCTTCTACAATATATGTCACCGTACAGCCTTCTACAATATATGTCACCGTACAGCCTTCTACAATATATGTCACCGTACAGCCTTCTACAATACATGTCACCGTACAGCCTTCTACAATACATGTCACTGTACAGCCTTCTACAATACATGTCACCGTACAGCCTTCTACAATATATGTCACCGTACAGCCTTCTACAATATATGTCACCGTACAGCCTTCTACAATATATGTCACTGTACAGCCTTCTACAATATATGTCACCGTACAACCTTCTACAATATATGTCATCGTACAACCTGCTACAATATATGTCACCGTACAGCCTTCTACAATACATGTCACCGTACAGCCTTCTACAATATATGTCACCGTACAGCCTTCTACAATATATGTCATCGTACAGCCTTCTACAATATAAGTCATCGTACAGCCTTCTACAATAACCAAAGTCGATATGGTATATGTCACCGTACAGCCTTCTACAATATATGTCACCGTACAACCTTCTACAATATATGTCACGTTACAGCCTTCTACAATATATGTCACCGTACAGCCTTCTACAATATATGTCACCATACAACCAGCCTTCTACAATATATGTCACCGTACAGCCTTCTACAATATAAGTCATCGTACAACCTGCTACAATATATGTCACTGTACAGCCTTCTACAATATAAGTCATCGTACAACCTGCTACAATATATGTCACCGTACAGCCTTCTACAATACATGTCACCGTACAGCCTTCTACTATATATGTCACCGTACAGCCTTCTACAATATATGTCACTGTACAGCCTTCTACAATATAAGTCATCGTACAGCCTTCTACAATATATGTAACCGTACAACCTTCTACAATATATGTCACCGTACAACCTTCTACTATATATGTCACCGTACAGCCTTCTACAATATATGTCACCGTACAGCCTTCTACAATATATGTCACCGTACAGCCTTCTACAACATATGTCACCGTACAACCTTCTACAATATATGTCACCGTACAGCCTTCTACTATATATGTCACTGTACAGCCTTCTACAATATATGTCACCGTACAGCCTTCTACAATATATCTCATCGAACAGCCTTCTACAATACATGTCACCGTACAGCCTTCTACAATATATGTCACCGTACAGCCTTCTACAATATATGTCATCGTACAGCCTTCTACAATATAAGTCATCGTACAGCCTTCTACAATAACCAAAGTCGATATGGTATATGTCACCGTACAGCCTTCTACAATATATGTCACCGTACAACCTTCTACAATATATGTCACGTTACAGCCTTCTACAATATATGTCACCGTACAGCCTTCTACAATATATGTCACCATACAACCAGCCTTCTACAATATATGTCACCGTACAGCCTTCTACAATATAAGTCATCGTACAACCTGCTACAATATATGTCACTGTACAGCCTTCTACAATATAAGTCATCGTACAACCTGCTACAATATATGTCACCGTACAGCCTTCTACAATACATGTCACCGTACAGCCTTCTACTATATATGTCACCGTACAGCCTTCTACAATATATGTCACTGTACAGCCTTCTACAATATATGTCACCGTACAGCCTTCTACAATATATGTCACCGTACAGCCTTCTACTATATATGTCACCGTACAGCCTTCTACAACATATGTCACCGTACAACCTTCTACAATATATGTCACCGTACAACCTTCTACTATATATGTCACCGTACAGCCTTCTACAATATATGTCACCGTACAACCTTCTACAATATATGTCACCGTACAGCCTTCTACAACATATGTCACTGTACAGCCTTCTACAATATATGTAACCGTACAACCTTCTACAATATATGTCACCGTACAACCTTCTACTATATATGTCACCGTACAGCCTTCTACAATATATGTCACCGTACAACCTTCTACAATATATGTCACCGTACAACCTTCTACAATATATGTCACCGTACAGCCTTCTACAACATATGTCACCGTACAGCCTTCTACAATATATGTCACCGTACAACCTTCTACAATATATGTCACCGTACAGCCTTCTACAATATATGTCACCGTACAACCTGCTACAATATATGTCACCGTACAGCCTTCTACAATACATGTCACCGTACAGCCTTCTACTATATATGTCACCGTACAGCCTTCTACAATATATGTCACTGTACAGCCTTCTACAATATAAGTCATCGTACAGCCTTCTACAATATATGTAACCGTACAACCTTCTACAATATATGTCACCGTACAACCTTCTACTATATATGTCACCGTACAGCCTTCTACAATATATGTCACCGTACAGCCTTCTACAATATATGTCACCGTACAGCCTTCTACAACATATGTCACCGTACAACCTTCTACAATATATGTCACCGTACAGCCTTCTACTATATATGTCACTGTACAGCCTTCTACAATATATGTCACCGTACAGCCTTCTACAATATATCTCATCGAACAGCCTTCTACAATACATGTCACCGTACAGCCTTCTACAATATATGTCACCGTACAGCCTTCTACAATATATGTCATCGTACAGCCTTCTACAATATAAGTCATCGTACAGCCTTCTACAATAACCAAAGTCGATATGGTATATGTCACCGTACAGCCTTCTACAATATATGTCACCGTACAACCTTCTACAATATATGTCACGTTACAGCCTTCTACAATATATGTCACCGTACAGCCTTCTACAATATATGTCACCATACAACCAGCCTTCTACAATATATGTCACCGTACAGCCTTCTACAATATAAGTCATCGTACAACCTGCTACAATATATGTCACTGTACAGCCTTCTACAATATAAGTCATCGTACAACCTGCTACAATATATGTCACCGTACAGCCTTCTACAATACATGTCACCGTACAGCCTTCTACTATATATG